CCCGTGCTATAACTCGGGGTGCACTGTGACCACCTTGTCTCCAGTAAATCCCTCGTTCCTTGCAGGGGAAGGTGCTCTCAACCCAGCGGACGGCACCGCGGAGCACGCGCTCTCCCAGCTCGCCAAGGCTGAGATCTCCCTCACCCTGGCAAACAAGCTCGTGGTGGAGGCCAGCAGTGAGGAGACCGACGTGAAGAGCTTGCTGCTGAGGTGAGGACATGTTTCTGGGTGCTGGGGACGTGTTTCTGGGTGCAAGGGGTTGGGGATGGCTGTTGGATACGGTCCCCACTTTCAGGGGAGTGTGATGGTGGATGAAGGTAGATCAGATGTGGAAAAAAAAAGCAAGAAATGGTCATAACTTGCTAAACTTGTGGAAGGTGCGGTCTGAAACGGGGCACCCGACTCCTCTTTCTCATGTCTAGCACCAAGCAAATGCTAGTGGATGTGATCCAGTCCCAGGCAGGAGATTCCCTCTTGGAGATCCTGCAGACACCAGCATCAGAGGACGAGGTGGGAGAAGTGCCTGCTGAGAGACAGGCCAAAAAGCCCTTTTTCAAGGGAAAAGGCAAATGTGCCACAGGCAGAAGGCTGGCTTGATCCTGCCTTGTCCCCATGCCCCCATGGTGGCTGTCTCCAGCAATGCTCCTGTGAAATGTCCCCCCACCCTGTCTCATATCTCCAGGAGGCTTCCCATTCCCGCCTCATGCACAGGCGGTTGCTGAGGGATGCCCAGACCCCCGAGAAGCTGCAACGCAACCGGTCGCTGGCTGGGAACAGCCGGCTCTCCATGGAGGAGAAGAAGCGGAAGGTCATCCGAAACCTGCGGCGCTTGGAGAGCCTGGGCCTCGTGGACTCCACTGATGAGTACCAAGGACTCATTAATGAGATGGCCAAGGTGAGCTATGTGTAGAGGAGCAAGTGGCTGCTTGGGCATGGGTTGGAGCCTGCTGTAGGTCTTGGACACAAGCCTTGGTGTCATCTCAATCTGGAGTCCAAACCCACCTGGTGTCCTGTTCCTGGACCTTCTTGGAGGCTCCAGGTAGGTGGCGATGGCTTTATTTTCTCCAGGACATCCGCAACCAGCGGCGTTATCGGCAGCACCGCAAAGCGGAGCTCCTGAAGCTGAGACAGACCCTCCAAGGGCTCGACTCCAAGACGTCGTTTTACGAAGAGCAGATTGACTATTACAACCAGTACATCAAGACCTGCCTGGACAACCTGGCAGCCAGCAACAAGTAGGTTTGCTTTGCATC